GGACCCCCCCCCCCCTCCCTGAGAAAGTAATTATTACATTTAGTACATTAGTATTTTTGCGATGTAATATTTTGGCATCACTAAATGAAATTAGATAATATACAATCCAATTAATATCAATTTATGTCTATAATAGTGTGAATATCGTTAATAAATGTTCACCTATAGCAAGAAACAATAGTTACAGTGAGTCCCAGAAAACAAAGGAAACGGTGGTTATGATTTAAAAGTTTTATGCAGTACAGCTATCAATTGTGCAGTGTACACAGACTCATTTTATCTAATTAATTTTCAAGCTGGTTAAAACTATTTGCTTTATAACAACATCAAATAAACACATGAAATCCCCAAAATTTTGTTTCTATTCCAGAGTTTTATAAGTCCCACTGTATAAATAAAAATATGATCCTCACACACATTTGTAACATTACGGGTTAGATGAAACTTGATACGCATTCAGCTGAATACAGGTTTCATTCTAAACCAATGAACTATGTACTTTAATTTATTGAATACCTCTCAATCATCATTACACGATAGTTTGATAAACAGTGTAATTTTTTCCTTTGCTTAGAGTTCAGAAAGACAGGAAATCTATACAATAAAGTTAATTATAAAAAAAGCCTGAATTTTTTGATCAATTTATTTGACCATGGTTCTTATAAATACACACATTTTAAACCCCATTCAAAAATGGATTTATGATAAATTCTTCATCAACAGAAAAAAAATTTTATGATGATTACTTAATTAATTGTATTTTACAATTTACCATACTTTAATAAATATATTCCAAATGAATTTTGAATAACATCCATTGAAAAAGATTTTAATTTTGTTCAATTCTTATAAAAATTGCATTATTAACTATATACTGCATAAAATTAGAATTATTGGAAATTATATAATTTAAATTTTTTGTGTTTTTTTTCAAGTCAAAATTTTTTCATTACATGTACGATTATCAATAACACTTTACAAGAGTGGGACCCATAACGATATGAAATCAGAAGACGACATTTAAAAAAAATCTTTTTCGTAATTGATGTTGTTATTAACAAAAATGAGTTTTAACTGTTGTGTTTCTTGTTCATACAGGGTGTCCCAATAAACATGGGAATTCAGTGACGAATTCGATATCGTCTTTTTAAATAATTCTTTGATTTAGTATAGCGATACCTACTGAGAAAGCTGTAATCTGTAAGAGTTTCGTCTGCTATGTTCACATTTTGTTTGTTTATGTTTTGACTGCATAAGGGTGTACTTAGTAAAACAAGAAAATTTCAGTATACAAACAGAATAAACTTGTCCGTCTTCACTGTTCATCTTGCGGAGACATTATGGACACATCTTAAAGTCTTTTACACTTTTCATAAAATAAAACTCTAGCAGACATAATAATATTATGTCTTTTGAAATTAGGTATTACAATGCTAATTTCTAACAAAGACGATATAGAATTCGTCACTGAATTCCCATGTTTTTCGGGACACCCTGTATAATATATGTCGTCTTCATATTCCACAATTTTACGGGTTCAGGTGAACAATACAAAGGTGAGTACATCTGGACAAATTTAAATTCAAATTTAAACTTAGTTGAGAAAGTTTAAAATTCTATGCTCTCAAGGGTACTGAAGAGTTAGGCGTTTGGGAGTAGGGAGAACAGGACTACAGGGGGAGTAACAGTAATACAGGGGGAGTATAGAGAACAGGACTACAGAGGGAGTAGGGGAGTAACTATACTACAGAGGGAGTAGAGAGAACAGGACTACAGGGGGAGTAGGGAGAACAGGACTACACGGGGAGTAGACAGAACAGGACTACAGGGGGAGTAGGGGACTAACAGTAATACAGTTGGAGTAGAGAGAACAGGACTACAGGGGAAGTAGAGAGAACAGGACTTAAGGGGGAGTAGAGAGAACAGGACTACAAGGGGAGTAGGGGAGTAACAGTACTACAGAGGGATTAGAAGGAACAGGACTACAGGGGGAGTAGAGAGAACAGGACTACAGGGGGAGTAGGGGTGTTACTGTACTACAGGGGGAGTAGAGAGAACAGGACTACATGGGGAGTAAGAGAGTAACAGTAATACAGAGGGAGTAGAGAGAACAGGCTTACAGGGGGAGTAGAAAGAACAGGACTACAGGGGGAGTAGGGGAGTAACTGTACTACAGAGGGAGTAGAGTACACGCTTACAGGGGGAGTAGAGAGAACAGGACTACATGGGGAGTAGGGGAGTAACAGTAATACAGAGGGAGTAGAGAGAACAGGCTTACAGGGGGAGTAGACACAACAGGACTACAGGGGGAGTAGGCGAGTAACAGTAATACAGGGGGAGTAGGGGAGTTACAGGACTACAGGGGGAGTTTGGGAATAGGACTACAGGGGAGTAGGGAGTAAGGGAAGGAAATGTTAGAAAGTAAGGAAAAGGAAGGAAAAGAAAGAGCAAAGACGAGGTTAGGATTGCAATATAATAAACTTAGAAGGTGGGGGGGGGGATAATGTTTTTTTTTGGCTCTCAAGTTTGTGGAGCCAGAGGTAAGGTGGAGGTTCGGTAGTACAGGGTTACCCAAAAAAGATGAGACTTTAGAGACTACTGTACGGAATTTGTACTGTCTAGTTTTCTTACATTTAGTGTTAACTTGTTTCGTTATTTTGCAAAGCAATAAATAAAACATTAAGCGACTTCAGCCATTCAGGCTGAAGACGTATTTAACCTTTGAATCATCATATTAACAAACTTTAAGGTCGTCTTTACAGTCTCATCTTTTGTGGGTTACCTTTTAAAAAGTTAGGGGAGGGAGCTCAAAGTTGCCAGGATACTGCACATATAGAGAGAGGATGAGGGGGAGGGGAGGTTATAGTTTCCGGGGGGGGTTATGGTTTCAAGGGGGGAGGATAAAGTTATATATGGTTTGTATGGTTTGTATGGTTTGTATCTAAAGTTTGAGTTTGTGTAGTATTCGTTGCACAAATATACACTCCAGGAATATTGCATTCTCCACATTAAGACGAAACAAAGATTATATATGGGAAATTTCTAAATATTAAAATATTCAACAATCCTGAATCTACAAAAGCGATCGTTTTTGAATACGATCTGTTGTATCCTGGATTGTTCTTGAAAAGAGCGAACCGTCCCTTGAATACAACGGAATCTCAGGAGTCAGTACATCCCGGGCCGTAGCAGAGTAGACACAAGTCTCCCTGCACATTACCGCCCTGGGACCTGTGCTATATACAGTGCACAGACAGCATACAGAGAGAACCTTTCTGGACGAGATATACTAAGAAGAAGATGAACCGGGTTCCTGTTATTGAGCGGAACCCTGCATACAATGAGGATCTGGAACCTGATGGAGATGCAGTTGATCGAGATGATATCACTCCTCTTGTCAGTGGAGACGTCCCTGCTATCACTGTCCCAGCCTCAGAGGACAGGAATGTAGCGGAGGATACATCAGAGGATGATGAGGCGGATGAGGAGATACGAGACATCATGGAGAAGATCGATAGACTTGATGCAGAGAACAAGGAACTTAGAAAGGATATTCTGGATCTTATATCCTCTACCCTTGAGGCCACTCGTTCCCAACAGCAGGCTGTTGTTCCCCAAGTT